CCCACCTTCTACTTTACAATGTTGCTTTCCTCTTGGCTCCAGCACTCATAAAATCCTGGTCCTCTCTGGGCTAATACTTTTACATCTCTAGAGGCAGCAGACTCATTAAATGAGAGATTTTATCCAGTGAAGATGAAATTGATTTTAGTTTAGTTTGGTGACTAGAAATTAAGATTCAGGTTTAAGTTGTACAGCAATGTGGGATGTACTTAATGCCATTGAACTGTACACTTAAAATGGTAAAAATGGTGAATTTTGTGTTAAGTATATTTTCCACAATTAAAAAAATATATTCAGGTTTATTTTTGCCAGTTCTGGATAGTTTCTGAAACGAGCTTGGTTCAACTTCCCTTCGAGCTGGTATATGTTGCTTTCAACACCCTTTGGGTCAGCTCAAGAGTTTGCAGAAATATTACTGTTTTGGTTAGGGATTCAGAACATTCGTGTGGTTTGCTATCAATTTTGGTACACAAATCAGTTCAAATATTTAAAGATTTATGTCTTTGATCCAAAGACAGGTACCAAAAATTTCTCTAGTAGCTAATTTTACAATATCAGAATTTAAAATACTTCCTGACCCAGCAATTCCACTTTTAGGAACATTTATTTTGATTTACACACAAAAGTACATCAAAAGATTTATGCAGGAGTTGTACTGGAGTACTGTATGTAAACATCTAGAAATGACTATAAACATACATCAAGAGGCCTGGTGAAACAACTTACAGCATATCTGTACAAAATAATACTATGTGTACTTCAAAAGAATGAGGCCAAATATCCTAAAAGTGAAAGAAAGATATGGCATGATAAGTAACAAAAGAGCAAAATCAAGAATAGTATGTATTAGTATAATCCCATCTATGTAAGATAACAATAAAGGAAACAAACACTCATCTACACACACACACACACACACACACACACAGCTCTTCTATACTCACAGACAAGAGTATTACTGTGGGACGAGTCCACAAGAAACTAAACACTATCACCTCTGGAAACTGGGAGCCTAGTGGGGCAAGTATTATTTTTATTTTAAAAGAATAAAATAATAAACAAAAAACCTCCAAAACCTTTAAATGAACAAAGAAGTACTACCACCTAGACCCGCTCTCACAGGTGAAGAAACCTGAGCAACCAGCTCATAACCTGAAAACACCCCCAATTATCCATTATCTCTACTTCAAAACCAGGCCACCTTTCAGCTCTGCTGTATAGCCACATACCTCTGTAAGTGGTAGATCTTGTGTGTGTACTGGCCTTTCTCACCATCCTTCTCGTAGGGTTCATTCACCAGGACCTCCACGCCTTCACCACCACCCGTTTCATTTTTGCTGGCTTCAGCCACAGAATACAGCTGTCCTACTTGATACTAAAGGAACAGGGAGACGGGAGTTATTGCCAATGTAGAATCTTCTCAACAGTTACACATAGTCCCGTTGCTGGTAATAATTCCAATCACATCACTCTGGGGTCCCCTGATCTGAGAACTCATTCTGAAGTTTCAAATGGGGCTGTGCCCAAATCCACTCAAAGCCACTGAGAACACTGCTCCATGGCCTCTCTTTAGTCATCAGATGTGTTTACTTTCATCCTTCTCATTTTCACACCACCATCCAGAAAATGGATTATAGAGTCCAAGGTAGATTTTGTCCTGGATCTGCCTCTGCTATGAAGACTCCAAAAAAATAGAAGTCTATTTATCCCATTCATTTAAACAAATCCTAAGACATGACTTCTTGTCAAAGAAAGTTATCCAGTGCTGTGAAATCCACCTCTGCTAGAAAACTGGCTCATCTATTTGCTTTTTCTTCAATGTTGGGCCCCTCCTCACCCTGCCAGCAGCTCAGAAAACAGTCTTGTAGATAACCGGACCTCCTGATACCTTCCGGATTCCTGGCGAGGCTGAAGCAAGTTCCCTGCTTCCCATATTAGATAGCACAGATTCCTACCCCACGGTCTGTGCTGGCTGGGTACACCCTCTGTGTTGGCACTTACTAGATGGCAAAAGCCTAGTTTTCCTTTATTTGGGTCACATGCCACCCTATCAAGTCACCAGGCAAGATCACTGGCCTCCTCTGACCCCCTCAGGACAACTCAGTGTTAGGGCCAATGACCTGGGCAGTGCCCAGGCTTGGCCCTTCTGCTCCTGTCTCTCTGAGGGAAGCTGTCTGAAAGGAAAAATAAGGTGAAAAGAGAATAAAAAGGAACAGTTAATGCAGGAAGTTATACCTGTACCAGAGGATGTCTTTTCCCTGTCACTGCCAGTATGAAGCAGGCACAATAATTTAGAGAGTAAGAGAAAAAGGAACTTGATTACTCAATATGTTGTGGGGAAGATACAGGTTTTCCTCACTCTCTATGCCCCCTCCCCAAGATCCTGGTACTCTCAGGAATGAAAGACAAGAGCGTTGTTTTTTTTTTCCCTTTGAGACTGAAACAGAGTCTGTATCTCTGGGCAGCTGCTACTTAAACCACTGCCTGCATGACCAAGGAGCAGAGGCAGCTTCCAGGACTGTTTCACCTCCAACTTGAAAGTCTACCTGACCCGGCAGGCAGCTTCCTAAGTAATACAGGGAAATGTCTGGGCAAAGTGCGGAAGGCGAAGCAGCAGCAGACTAGGACAATTCACTGTTCGCCATGAAGCTGAAAGAGCCCTGACTTCCAAAGCAAAATCCCAGCACAAAATGCCAAGGAAAGGCCCAGGCAAGCAACCAAGTCTCACTTAATCCCATAAAGAGAAGCATCTGGGTGACAGCGAGTCATCTTGACTTTGCTAATCCAGAGCAACATCGGTGTCAGCTCAATGCCCCCATGGAGCCCCAGCTATCCCTGTGCCTTTCTATGGTCACCCACTACCTGGGGCACACAGGAAAACTGTATCAAGTGGGTCAGGGTTTGGCTGAGCCAGGGATTCCTAGGAAGAAGCAGTAATTCCGTTTCAGAGAAGTCATAAGAACATCCAACCACTGACTCAGCAATCCTAAAGGTCAGGCTAGGGAAAGGGCCTGGTGTGGAGACTGCGATGCCGATGCTGGCTGGTGGTGCTGCCTGGGGAGGGGCTCCAGGCAGAGAATAATCCCCTTCACTGGTTCCTCTTCAGCTGCAGGAATCAGAGGGCAAGCTCTAAGAGGATCAGTCTATTGGGCTGGCATCTTCCCCCTTTAATCTCTCTTGATATTCTGATCCTTTAATCCCAATGAGACAAGTGAAGGCAGTTTTGTTAATCCAAAGGGGTAAGTAAAACTGGCCTCCACAAGCTACAAGTGAGGGATTCTTTCCATGTCAGAGGGTTCCCTTTGGCACAGAGGCTCCACACCCTGGGAGAGCAGAAAGCTGCCAGATTCAGATGGGGTGGAGGTGAGTGGGGGCCGGGGGGTGAGTCCATTATATCAAATAAAGAGCCCTGAGGAGACTGGGGTTCCAGCCACCTCGGGCCTAAGACATTGCTCCCTGCCCTTGAGATTTGTTCCCTTGTCCCAAAGAATTAAGACACTCAGCTAAAAAAAAACAGAGACTCCATCACTTTGGCAATCTGGGAGCGGGAGCCCAGGAAGATGGAGTGAGTGGGCCTGACCTGAAACACTGACATGAAACATGTCATGAAAACCAGCACAGCTATTGGTCCTACCCATGTCCCTGTCAGGCCAGTTACCCTAGGGGGATGATGCCATGCATCTCCAGAAATGAGAAGTAAAACAGCCCTGCCCACAGTACAAGGTAAGCCAGCCTGAGTCAGGAACCACACTGGTGGACACACCCATGCCAAACAGGCAGGGCTTTCTTGCTCTGCTGCAGAATGCCTACAAACCCTGAACAATGTTAGGCTAAAGGTTCTGGCCAGCCAGAAGCTAATTCCACTCCAAAATATTGATTAGGGCTATCGGAATGGGTTATAAAGACATGGTTTTCTCTTTTCTCTTTCTCTTCTTTTCTCCCTAAATCAGAAAGTTCTGAGGGCCTCAAATCGTGGACTCCAATTAGGAAGTGAATCCAATAGTCACACGACACTGGGCTGTTCCCATGGGAACCATGAGTCAGGATAGGGTTATTGATAAAGACTCTGAGAAAGTTGATCATTACTTGTTTCTTCTTCAGTCTCCTATTTAAGATTTTCTGATCTTCTGGAGCTAAGGTTCAAGCCATCAAAAGAGCAGCTCCAGGCTATGCACTGCTTTCTCATCAGCGGTTTCTAGCTGAGAACAGATTGACCATCACCAGCCAGACAGGTGAATCCTAACCAGTGCTTACTTCCCTAGCTCCTACATAGACTACTTCCTCAATGCTGGGGGAAAAAAAAAATTACAAGCTAAAAACCTCCAATCTCAGATGCTCTCAAGGTCAGTTCCCCTTTCCTTCCATTCTTGGTCATAAGCAATCAGTGTTCTGGCCCCTCCAGCCTTTCTGCAGCTCAGACAAGAGGTGCTCCGGACAGTGCTGGCCCTCCTGGGTCTGCCATACTTCTCAGAGACATTCCCACCCCTCATTCTATCAAGAAACTCCCTGTGAAAAGATCTGTGTCAGCTCTAAATGCCACACCGAAGTACTCTCGAGTTCCTGGAGACAGCTTCCTGACTGCGGATGGGGGTGGGGTAGTGGAATTATGCTGTACAGCAGAGAGCGAGTCATCAGACCGCCAGGAGCTCATGGCAAGAGACATACTGGGTCTTCCTGCTTGGCCTCCTGTTTTAGAAAGTCAGCACTTACTATTTTTCACAAAAACAGCAAGGCCCCCAAAGGAGGAGGGTTAACAAAGTCCCCCAAGCCAAAACTTGTCAGCTCAAGCATGGGGTTCCCAGGCCCCAGGTACCTCTCAGGTGCCTCTAGGGATCACAACATCTATCCATCATCCCCTTTCCCCAACTTCTCCAGTTTCATTTCTCTTATCTTTCTTTCCCCAAATTCCCAGATCATCTTTGAGGCCCTTCTCTGGCTCCCTTCCCCAGGTCTCCACAGCTCTTATCCTCTAGGGGGCCAATGCCTGCCCACCCTTCTGGGGGGGGGGTCAAAAAGCTGGGATATTTGTCTCATTTAAAGTGTGCTGCAGGTTCTGTTGGCCTGATTTCATTTTTCAAAGGACCATTTCATATTTGGAACAGACTGGAAGTTATCATAGGAGTTTCATTCTGATACTGTAGGAAAGAGAATGACTGAGGGTACTATACTGGCTGACAAACTTCACCCAAACTTGAGCTTAACTGGAAGCTGGGGTGGAGGTGAGAGGCTGTGGATTCAGAAGGAAGCGAAGAAAAAGGCTGTGCCAAGAAAGGAAAGTGGAGGAAATTCAGAGAAAGGGTGGGACAAGGGAGGTTCTGTGACAGTTCTCTGCTGTCCAAGAGACCAACTCTGAGTCAGCATGGCCTATGAACCTTCTCGTGGCAAATCCTGCCAGATCCCCATAGACAGGGACATAAGGCCCAAGAACCATAAAAGGACAGGGCAAGCCAAGCCCATTTGTTATTCCCTGCCCTCCGTAAAAGGAGAGTTCTGAGCCTTGGTCTTCTCGGCAGTCACCTAGAGTGTAGCTAAGGAGGGCCTGAGAAATTTACTGCCCTGCTGGTTTGTTGCACAAAGGAGAGAGCCATGCACACTTCCCAGTCGAGTTATGGAGGTCCCAGATATGCACACACTCAGTCCCCTCAATAACATGTCCCTAAATAGGCACAGTCCCAGCAGGTAAAGGGGGCTGGTTTAGTCTCTCTTTAGACACCTAGTACGCCAACAGCTTGAGGCAGGTCACACACAGTTGCCTAGATATACTAAGTGCCTTCCTTCAACTGAAAGTGGCTCCAGGAAAATTCACATTGAGTACTGATCATCTCTATGTTAGAACAAACATGGAAACCATACAAAGAGTTTGGGCCACTTGGAGCCCAACTTAGCTAATAGTAATGAGCAATTATATACAACTATAGCTAAAAAGAAGAAAGAAGGACTTACCTCATCTACAGACACCGGCAGGATGACTCGACTACAAGAGAAGGAAAACAGTATCAACTTCAGACTCTGAAACCTGCCCAAGGCTCTTAAAGCATCACCTTAGAATAGTATTAAACATTTTGTTGCACATGACAGAAACTGTCAGAAACCCAGCAGAAAATGACCCTGAGTGCTTCGAGGCTAGGATGCTCTGTGCCCTTCTAGCATCCCAGTTAGAGCCCAGTGATTCAGTACATACCTGTTCCCCAATGAGCTACTTCTCAGGCCTCTGACTCACATTTGGAACTGTCTTCTCCCTCTCCTCCACTAATATCTTCCCCACCAAAACTTGCCAATTAATCTAGTAAAACAGATTGGTTAACACAGGAGGACCCACCCCTGTAAACTGTGAAGCCAAGATGAGGATTCAGACCCAAAGAATCAGGCCCTGGGGATTTATACCTCTGTGGACCCAACCTCCCAACAACAACCCTCAAGGTGAAAGGCCAGGAAGGGGCAAAGCTCCTTGGAATCTTTAATCACTCTTAGAACATGCACCAACCATCTCTGCTCTGGGACAGGATATTACAATACAAGCTACTACCATAAAGCCACCAAAAGAGGACACGCAACTTGTGTCCTAACCTCCAGAAGCTGACCAAAGGCACCCCAACTGATCGCTGTCTTTTCTTTTTCCATTCCAATGACCACTAATTGTTGGAGGTACCACCAATAACCTGACAGAGAAACCATGGCCAGCAAAGTCCCCACACTGGTCAGAATTCCACAGGACTAACAATACTCCTCCAGGTGGCTACAGCCAACCCCCAGTTCAAAACTGTGAGGTCAGAGGGGTGAGACAAAAACGCTTGGTTGTATTCATATAAATCAAGCCAGTTCCCAAGCTGAAGCTGTCAGTTCCCAGACCTTAGCTGGAACCCCCTGGAGCCTCCTGTATCTTTTGGGCTTGGTGAAGCATGAGCTGCTATGCTATCTGTCCTGTGTAGTGGTTCCACCAACCAGGACCCTTGCTCCAGGATGGTAAATAGTCCTCTCACTATTTTCTAGTCCCACAAAGATCCCCCAGATAGCACATAGAAGGGTCTGAGAAAAACATTACACTATAGGAAAAGCACCTGGCAGAAAAGTAGCAGGAAAAACAAAATGGGCTCCAAGGCTTTACTGCTTGCTAACTCCCCTCCTCCAGAATGACTCAAATAACGTAAATCCTGCAGGTTATTGGATGCTGCCACTAACACTCTCCTCCCATTAGAGAAAGCCGACAATGCAGAAAAATACTTCCAACTTGGAGGCCACAATTACTGCATGCTCAGTAGAAACTTCCTAGAAAACAATCAGCCTTTTATCTTCAAGAACAGCAGTAAAAATCACATCCAAGAATTTGCAGAAATAAATCAAGGAGAATCCTGTTAGAGGAAGTGTCAGAAAAATCAACAAGGGCAACCTTCAGACCTGGGTGGGCACCAAGTCTTCCCTCCAAAAGAAACGAGCATCAGCCAGTTCCTGACAGGATGTTCTGAGGATGCTTACATTACAGCTGCTCACCCAGACATTTCTCCCTGACTCCTTGGGAGCAAAACCACTCTAGCAGCAATAGGGTGTAATTCCAAAGGATAGGGCCACAGAGGCAGTGCTGGGCTGAGTCTGGAGCTCTCACTTCAGTGTGACCTTCACTCGTACCCTTCCAAGAGCTGCAACGCTGCAGCCACAGCCAAGTGTCTTAAATACCCCCTTCTATGTCCCATGTGCTTGCGTGCACACACAGGCCACAAGTCAGGCAGGAAGGAAATGCAGATGCCAAGGTTCTATATCTGTGGCACCTTGGACTTTCCCTGGCAGGCTTCAAGGGGAGGAAAACAAAGAATGGGAAGGGAAGACCTCTCTTCAAAACTCACTCAGATCTCTTCTGAAGGTCCCTTCCCTTTCCTGTCTGACCTTCTTTACAAAACTACAGATTTCTACAGATTCCAAGATTCATCTGGGAATAGAAAAAAGGATCAAGAGAATGGGAAAAGCCTTTCATCTGGACAGTCAAGATTAGAATCTAAAGTGCACCATGCTCTCCTCCTGTTGGCATCCCCAGGTTCTTCCGCCTCACCACATAAAACTCTGAGTTCTGGTTGCATCAACATCAGACCAGATGTCATCAAATAAAGGTAGAGGGCCTTCAAAATAATGTTCTTCAGATTAGGTGTCAAGCTGGGATAATAACTGAATTTCTGCTCCCTTTGTTATCCGAAGGTCCACGCTATGCCTCCAAGGAGCAAGTCAGATGGGACGGGGCAAAGTGCTTTCACTGACAAAATAGAAACAGCCCTCTGCACACCTTCTTAGCTACCAAGTGAGTTCCACTAGTTGCTCTCTACTTGGATATCTCCCACTTCCAGAATTCCTGGGCTTCTGGCCCAATGCTGCCCACCTGCCCTCCCCTCCAGAGAAGCACAGTTTTATTGTAAATTCTGCACACATAAATCCAATCTCTCCTCTTTGAAAAGGAAAACAAAAATGTCCCAAGATGTTTCCTTGGAATCATGAGCTTCAGAGGTAGGTCATCTCACATTTGAAAGATTTAGCAATCTAAACATCCCCACCTGTCATTCACCCAATCCCCTGGACTTCAGGAACAAGCCTGTCTCCCTGCAGCTCCTCCCAGAAGTCACCAGTTGCCCACCCCTAGTCACTACTCTAGAACTCCCTTACCTTTCACTGTCTTTTCTCAATTAATGGCTTTATGGGAACCTTCTCAGTTCCTCAAAGCAATTCCGCATCTCTGCACTAAGACCGAGAATTCCCTAGAGATGGACTGCCCTACCCCCCAACCCCACTCCAATAATTCTTATATTTACTGACAAACATACTCTACAACTGTCTTCTACCCTGGTAATATCCTAGCCTTCTCCATCACCATCACTCCCCCATATCACTTCAGTCCCTGTCCAATATTTTCTGGACTCCTCACCCAAGTGATCTCAAGTCGCAAGCAGAAACCCTAAGCTTTCCCTCCATTATCTCCTCCTTTGTACCTACCACTTGGGCATCATGTCATGCCACCAGTCCCCTCCGCTACCTCTTTAGACCTGTCAACTGAGCCTGGCCTTGACTCCTGAACCCTTTTCCTGTGTCCACTTATTACAGTCCTTCCCCCGATGCCTAAAGCAGAGCCACTTGTGCTCCAGGTTCCCCTCAGCAACCTTTCCCAGCATTTCAACTCCCTCAGTACTATGCAGCCCCCAAATCTCTCTCCACCACTGAATAGCTCACCGACCCTGCCTGCCCTTGTCTAACTGTTTCTCAACACATGAGACAACTCCTCCCTCTTCCGCTGGTCCTCTCAGCCACACGGGCAGTTCTGGCTGGTCCCCTCGTTCCTCAGCCCCCACTGGAAAACCACCCCACATCTCATCCAGTGCTTTCGAGCCCCTCAGCCCCTCCTCATGCCTTGACCGGCTCTCACTGTCCCCTTGACTCCTTCTCAGGCTCCGTCGAGCCCTCACTGTCCCCTCGGCCTCTCCTCAGGCCTATTCGGCTCTCACTGCCCCTTGGGCCCCACCTCAGGGGCTGCCCATCCTTCTCTATTCCCGTTGGCCCCACCTCAGGCCCTGTCCGGCCCTCACTGTCCCCTCAGCCCCTGCTGGGCCGCCCAACAGCCCATCCAGGGCTCTCCATCCCCTCCGGCCTCGTTCGGCCGCTGCATCCCCTCCTCCAGGCCATCAGCCTCCCTGGTCGTCATCCCCGACTCTGCCTTCCTCCTCGTTTCCGCACCGCCGGCCGGACACTCACTACTCTTTGAGCAGCACCATGTCGCTTCGCGGCTCGGCGGCTGCCCGCTTCCCGCCCGCTTCCCGGCGGCCGCTCTCCCCGTGGCCCGGCCCGGCCCGACTGCCTGTGCGCCTTCGTCGTGGTCTGCTCTGTCCCCGACGCTCTCTCTGCGGTCGCCGCGCCGGCTCCTGCGCCCCGGCCTCGCCGCCTCCCGCGCTGCTGCCGACGCCGCCCGGAGCTCCGGTTCCGCAGCGCCGCGCGGGGGCGGGGCGTCTCTGCGGCAACCAGAGCGTCACACGCAGTGGTGCGCGCTGACTTCAGCGCGGAGGCGGAGCCTTGTCGGGCTCGTCCCCTCTCGTCCTTAAATGGGCCACGGCGTCAGCGTCCGGGTCCGAGGTGGGCCCTGGGCGTGAGCAGACCTGGACAGTAGGCGGAGCAGACGACGAGGTGTCTGGCAGGGTCCTAGATAGGCTGTTCTGCAGCTGGAGCAGATGCACCTGTATGCTAGGGTCTCCCCAGTGGGGTGGATTGAGATCTAGGAAAAGCTTGTGCTCTTTACGCGCAAGTGCTCTTCCAACGGTTTGACTCCTCAGAACAAAACTAACAGAAAGATACTATTACTGTCCCCATTTACAGGTTAAGAGAAGGAGGCAGAGGTTTAGAGACTCGTTAAGTCCAAAGCTAGCATGTGATGGGGCTGAGATTTTCGCCCTGCAGTTTTAGTGTAATGTCATTCATTCGATTAGTATTTGCGAAGTGTTTGCCCTGTACCAAAACCTGTGCTTTTTTTTTTTGAGTAAGTGAACAAGGTAGAGACCATCTAGCCTTTAGGGAACTCAGGGTCAAGACGTGGGGCTGGGTGGAGTGGGGTGGAGGGGGTAGATGGGTGGATAGAGGATATAGAGCCAGGCAGAATGAAAAGAGCTGTGAGAGGAGAAACACAGGTTTGTTGAGATTACACAGGGAGATGTAGTCAGTCAAGGCATCAGGGAGGAAAAGGACCTAAGCTGAGATCTACAGGGGCCTGTGCCTTTATCAAGCATAATGAATGCAAAGGTGCATTTGGGGAAACTGAAAGAAGTGACCAGATCATGAAATTTGTGGGCCGAGGAACTGTAGGAAGGGTGAGTTCTGGCCAGATGATGCAATTCCTGGTAGGTGATGATAGGTGTTTGGAATCCATCCTAAGGGCACAGGTGGGCATTTAGGGGTTTTAAGTGGGTTTGGTGTTTAAAGGCTCACTCTGATGTCTGGGTGGAGAGGGCATGGAAGGGGCCAGCGCAGAGGCAGGGAGGACAGTTAGGAGGCCTCTGAAGAAATCCAGGCTGAGATGGACTAGGACAGTGGTGGGAAGAGGGGTGAGGATGGATTCAGCAGCAACTCAGGAGGTAAAATCAGCAAGACTTGTTGACTAATTGGCTAAGAGGATGAGAGGGAGAAGGGGAGAAAACTACCCAGGTTTCTGGCCTGGAAGCCTGGTGGACAGACAGTACTGCCTTCAGAAGTATACAGGAAAGGCAAATTTGCAGTGAGGAAAATCATGACTCCAGTGTTCAAATTGAGGGGCACCCAGGTGACAGTTAGTGGATTGCCTAAGATAGGGACTCAGAAAAGGAGGGTAGAGCAGGTGGCTATATTGCTATCAAGCCATGACTAGTGCCCCAGGACAGCCTGGAGTAATGCATGTGCTAGCTACTCATTAAATTCTAGAATGGGAGCAGGAATTGCCTTGTGAGAGAGTGCCAAAAGAAGAGATATTATGACCCAAAGTCCAAGATTAAGTGAGTGGCTTGGATCCTGGTCCCCTGACCACCCCCTTCCTCTAGTGTAGGGCTTTTTTTCTCTACATAATATCTATGAATAGTTATTTAACAGTTGCCAGGTTCTGGCTCTTTCCAGGAAGTAACCAAACCCTGCTCTCTAGGAGCTTGCAGTCTAGTTAGGAAAACTACATTTACTCATTCATTCAATAAATATTGATTGAGCTCCTGGCCCCATCCTAGGCCATTTTCTAGGCACTCAGGATACAGGAGTGACCAAGAAAATAGACATCCTTCTCTTGTTCAGTCGGGGGAAGCAGAATATAAACAAATACAGAATTAACTTCAAGTCGTGGTAAATGTTATGAAGAGGCCAAGCAGGGTGACTTCAGGCAGTGGTGGGAGGCATTAGTTGGGTGCTCAGAGAAGACTGTTAGAGGGGGCGATGTTTAGACAGACCTGAATGACCAGAGGAATTATTGCTAAGCTGGCTCTTAGTTAATAAGAGTTGAGACAAGGGAGTTTGGAGGGCTTTGCTGGGCACTGGAGTGGGGCGGGAGGAGCTAAACAGTAATCGAAATACCTGAGAACCAGCCTCTGCTCTGGAGGCACTCGTGGACAGTAGGCCTTGCACTTGCAGAAAACCAACTAGTGACTTGAGGTAGCTTGCGATAAAGGAGGACGTGTGTGACACAAAGAACAGTGCTGGGGAAGATCCAAGGAAAGGCCTCCTGGGCTGAAGAGGTAGAGGGAGCATCCAGGACAAGGGGGATTTGAGCCAGATTTGGATAGAAAGAGAGAACAGCATCTTCAGAGGGAAACTAGCATATGCAAAGGCGTAGAGGCAGGATTCTAGAAGATGGAATCTGGGAAGTGGGGAGGCCAGAGTAGAACCTCTGGTTAGAGCGTGAGTGGTTCATGTGGGGGCACACACACGAGATGGACTGAGTGTAGGGCCCTGAGTGCCATGCTGGAGAACTCTACCTTCACTCCATGGGCAAGGGTAGCCATTTGAGAGCCTTAAAGAATTCCCACTCCTCACCACCACATTCAACCATTAATGAGATTATGCCAGTCTTGCTTCTTTATCTCTTTTCTTCTCTGAAACATTTTAAAGGAGTTGTCAGACATCATGTCATCTCATCCCTCCCTATCTCAGTATACATTCTAGAAATATGGATGTTTTCTTACAAATGCACAATGCTATTATCATACTTAAATTCATAATTTCTTGATATTATCTCATACCCAGTTCATATTCAGATTTCTCTAATCATCTAAAAATTTTGTAGTTTCTTTTAGATAAGTTTAGTATCTGAGCAAGGCAGCATTTTTTTTCTTTTCACATTTTATTTTTAGTTCTGTTTCTTACATCTCTTACTCTAGCAAGCTTTGCTTCAGGTGTCCATAGGAGTTAGCTCTTACATGCAGGAGCCACAGCTCTCTCCAACTGTGCCTTGCTGTGAGCCAACATCTGGCTGTGGAAACAGACAGACCCCCTGGTGCCTGAATGCCCTGGAGTCCCAACGCTACCGCTTGCCACCTGTGTGACCTTGTACAAGTTACTTAACCATTCTTTGCCTCAGCTTCTTCATTTGTAAAATGGAGCAATGATAGTGGGATTGCTGGGAATTGATGATAGTGCTGGCTTCAAGGCAATATATGTAAAGCAGTTTTGTGCAGTATGTGGCACATTTCCATATTATTATTTTTGGGGTAGGGATATTGTGAGGAAGGAGGAGTGGACACTACTGCCTTCCAAAGCTACTTCTACATGTTCCAGGCTCAGAGAGAAAGAAGTGAATCTCCAATGTCACAGCCAGCGACCTGTCTCTCATATCTCCCTTTCTTTGCCTCTCTCCCTCTCTCCATCTCTGTCTGTACTTCTCCATCATCTATCTCTCTAGCTCCCTCTCTAGCTTTCTCTCACTATCTCTGTCTGTCTCCCCTTTATCTCTTTATCTTGCCTCTCTGTCTCTTTGTATCTCTCTTTCCATTTATATCTGTCTTTAATCTTTTGTTCTCTCTCCTCTCTCTGTTCCTCTGCATTTCTCTCTTTACTTCTCTTCCTGTTTCTCCTCTATGGCCCACTACGTCTCTCCTCATCCCTGTCCTCAGTCTTTGTCACTCTACTCTGGATAATGCATCTACTGCCTGTGTTTCTTTCATCTTCTCTTTGCAACTGTCTCCTTTTCCCCTGTCTGCTCTCTGTTCTGTCTTGGTCTCTCTCTCTCTCTCTTGCTTTCATCTTGGTGTCTGTGCATCTCACAGTTCTGGCGCCTGCACAGTTTCTCCTGGCTTGCTGGCCCTCATTGCAGCCTTGGTCAGAGCCACACCTGTAACCCATCTCTGAGTATCTTGGGGAGACTGTGTTTCACTGTTTCCATCTTCTGTTCTGTCCCTTTCCGGCTGGTGAGAGCATACTCTTCTCCCAGCTTCTGTCTTAGTCCATTTCAGCCTCTTTTTGTTTTATTTCTCTCTTTTTAAAAATTTCATCCTGCAAATATTTATGGAGCAGCTGTTCCATCCCAGGCACTGTTTGAGGCACTGGAGGCATCATGGTGACCAAGGCAGAACATGTGCCATCTCTCAAGGAGCATTCTTTCTAGTAAGAAGACAGACACCAGACAAAAGAACAGACAAACATGTGACCCTGGATGCCTGGCTCATCCCACTGGGCAGAGGAGCATGTTGGTCATTCCAAGCCATATGCAGAAACTCAGGCCCATGAGGGGAAGCTGGCTCTGCCTTGAGCTTTGCCTGACAATTCCTTGTCCCTAAATAAGAACTGTGGGGCACTCTAGAAGCCAGATTTAACATTCATTATGCACCAGGCTGGGGGAGACACAGGTAAAAAGAAAAAAGTTCTACTCATGTAGGGTCACGTCTAATGCAAGGCAAATATATCATCTGCTAGAGTCAAGGAAATAGACAGCAGGTACTTTGGGCATCCAAAGAGGTGAGGAGGCACTTTACCTCCTCTTCTCTCTCCCTACCTCTGATGGTGTTTGACCTGCGTAGGGTTAGAAACTATTTCAGCGGCCATGATGTTTAAAAAATATTTTTTGAGCCAAAATTTGTAAAAAGGCCTAATTTATATAAAACTCAGGATTTTCAGCTTCTCTTGAAAAAAAAAAAAAATCAAAAAACTTGGCAACACTAGGCTAGTTCCCACATGGCCATAATTGGTTGAAGCTGTTTTAAGGCTATCCCCTGAGATGGGGCTGTGGCCTCCAGGTCTCCACAGCTTCCACCAAGTCCTTTGTGTGTCCCTGGCACAGAGGTCAAGGTCTAGCTGCCTCTGTAGCACCACAGAGCTTATGTTGTGGCTCTACTTATATTAGAGAAATAGTCTCTATGCTGTCTCGATCAAACACAGGAAAATGAAAGGTAACAACAAAGGAAGTGGCAGAGCCCCGGCTTTTGAATTTGCAGTCTTAACAAGTAGGACATCTATCTAGCATCTCTCTGCCCTGGCTACCGTGTAGGGGGCCATTGCTCATCCTTCCCCCAAGGCCATCCATATTCCTCCCCTGGGCCTTAAGCCTCCTCTACCCCAACAGGGTCAGAGGCCAGGCCTCAATCAGGCTGCCCCTCCCCTCCCTGGTGGTGTGGCTCTCCCTGGGGCTTCTCTGCAGGGACAATTGCTCTCTCCCTCTTGCTACCACTGTCTGGGGCCCTGGTGGGAGGGTGGCTAGCTTGGTGGAAAATATGTAGGAGGAGCGGTCATGCCCATGACCGCTGCCTTAGGACAAAAGAAAAGGGGCAAAGATGAGCTCCCTCCCTCAGAATCAGAATTCATCTGCAGCCCTGTCTTTCCACCCAGGAGGCCCCTTACCTGATCCTTTTTCCACCTCTTCAAATGGTAGCACAGAAGCCACAACAGCAAAGCTGGGCCATGGTGGATGCAACATAGCAAAGGGGTAGGGACCAGGGAGCACATTTTGGACAAGTGTCAGGGAATCTGGGCAAGGGACAAGCGGCTAGGGGATGTGTGACTTAGGGAGAGACACAGGAGCTCATGAAGAAGCAGTTCTTGTCATTCTCAGCATACATTTATTGAGTGCTTACTGTGTGCCAAGAAGTAAGCCAGGTGCTAGAAACAGCAAAGGGGCAGGAAGAGTCAAGGTCAGTTATGAGGTCATCGATGATGTGTACTGACCTTGGTTAACACAAGGAACAGATTAACTCTTCAGGCACAACTCTGAGGGCCTGGGCTGGGTCCTTGGACAGACCCCGCAACAGAAAGGGATTTGGTGAGGCAAGATCCCCTCCTCCTTTCCATCCAGGTAGAGGCACACAGATAAGCCCCTACACACTCCTCTAAACAGTCACACCTGGCATGAGTGGAATACATCTCTCTCTCTCTCTCTCTCTCTCTCTCTCTCTCTGTCTCTAACACACACACACACACAAACACACAAACGCGCGCGCGCGCATGCACAGGAATGGCCACAGTTTGTTTTACAAGGAAGTGGTACGGAGGTACTACCTACAGGCCATGATCTGAGTTACCCCCTCAACATTAATCTGTCGGAGTGTCTAAATATCCACTTTTGAGAGATTATCTTGAAAAGCTTTTCAGCCAAGTCTCTAACCAAAATGTGAAAGACAACATGAACAAGGGGACAATTTCCTAAGGCTTTTGCTTAGAGAGGGGTTTTGAGACAGCAGAGTCAGCAGAAACAGACCTCACTTCTTTTACTTGGCCACGAGTCTGTTCCAGTCAGAGCTTCCTAAAGTCGGTGTCCTATGAGACATGTGAGTGGAGGTAGAAGGGTAGCGGTGGCCCTTGTTCCCTGTGCTATCTGTATTCCTCAAGGGTCATACAAACAATGCTGTCACTTGCTAAGTGCCTATTAAATGCCAGGTATACTACTGTGCAAATGCATTATGCCCGTGTTCACTGAGCTTCACGGTGAGGGTATTAGCTCCACTTTAAAACTGGAGGAAACTGAGGCTAAAGACTTGCCTAAGGTCACTGATGTGGTATATGTGGTGGGACCTCTAACTTCTCTGCCCCTTGGCACAGGGAGATGGAATCTCACTCTGGGAGAAAGGGATCAGGAACCAGGAGATGCCAGGGGCCCAGTACAGTCTCAGATCTACCCACGAGGCTGAGAATGACTAACTTCAGAGCTGTGAACATGTTGCCTGCAAAGACCAAGGGACATGAGCGGTGGCTCCATACTGGCAGGCCACCCAATGGAGGATGCTATTTTTCCTTCATGACACTCAGGAAGCTCTGCCCTCACCGCAGGGCTTAGGGTAAATCAGGACATGGTGGGGAACAGGTTCACAGAGCCCACCTGCTTATCCTGACCCCAGGAGAGGGCTGCAGCTTGTGGAAAACCCCCTCACCTTGGGGGTTCTGGGCTCCTCCTTATCCTTATAATCCCTGGGGAAAATAGGCTACTACCCTTGAGTTGGACCCCTGGTAATTGGAACAGATAAGATGCCTTACTGCCCCAAGAGCCCACGAGAACCCATCATATTCTTTAGAGGGAGAAAGCTGTTGCTGAAATGCCCCTGAAACTTGATCTTGTTGAGAAGACTTCTCAAGAGCTGTCTGAGAGGAGCACCTCACCATAGGATGCCCAAAGCCTAATTCTACCTCCCATTACGCAGCCCACTTGCATATCTGCTCAAATTCGCACAGGCTGACATGCAAATGCATCAAAAATTCCACTGGGCTAAATGTGCTGATGTCTGGGACAGTCCTGCACACACATCCTGAAAATTAGATGTCCCCCTTTTTCAGTGACCTTGGGGCCAAGGGCAGTGTGAGGCCCACCTCTGATTGCACAGCTCAGGGCCAGGATGAGGTGGGCTTGGGCAGTTCTTTGGACCAGGCCTATACTGGGTACGAGAGGGGAAAGAAGATGGAGAAAAGCAGAAAGGCACCCACAAGTGCCTGCAAACCTATTTATGGTCTTTGGGAGGGTTGGAAACTTCTCTAGCACAGGCCCAGGCAGCAGGAGCGGCAGGCAGAAGCCAAGAGGGTCTGGAGGAAGCCAACAAAGGAATAACTAGACCTGAGCCCAGGGAGACTAGAGAGAGGTTCCTGGCAATGCTTCTGAGACTGGCTCAGACCGCTTCCTCAACTCTGACATCACTAGCCAGGCTTCACTTCCTGCTCCTTTCCATCAGGAGCCTGGAGGACAAAACCTACAATGAAGGGTCATGGCCACTTGGTGCCCACTGCCTTCTATCAGCCCATGGTCCCTCTCCCATTCCAGGGCACTCTCCTCAGGGTTTGGGGTGACCAGATAATTGCCTCTCTACCCCAAGAACCCATTAGCCTCCAGGGCTAAGATGACTCCACAGAGTAATCATCCCATTCCCCAAGGAATCTTTTGGCTTCGAGAAAGTGGTGCCTAGATTTGCTTTCTTTTCTCAGGCTGTTGGCTCCCTGCTCCCAAAAGCCTGGTGGCCCCCGAGGCTGCACCTCCCAAAGGAATGTTCTGGTCTAGAGGGCTTTCTTTGATTCCTCCAATGATGTTAAGGCCCATATGCAGGTCCTGGCTTTAATCTTGAGAAAATTACGCCCCCTCCCTGGACCTTGATCTTTCCAACTGTAAAAGAGAAATGATAGTATCTATTTAACTCTTAGATTTGTTATCATAATTCAATGATGATAATAGGAAAATATGTAACCTATCAACTCTGTACAGTCAAAGCAGAATGACTGGCTCCTGACAAGGGGGTGGGGGTGCAGGTGGTAGCCAACCTATATGGTACCCTGCTCCCATTTTCATGCCTCTAATCCCCACACATTGTTGGCCCTAGACTGATTTCCACCCTGCATTCTTTCCCAATGCCTGCTTCTTTCCACAAAGTGCTCACACCCTGCAGGTGGGTGGGAGGGAGAGGCAGCAGTTCCTACTTCGGCTGCGGACTGAGCCTGGGACTGCTGGGGACAGCACAGGTCATGTCTGTAACCGCAATATGTTTTCCCAGCTTGAAAGTCCCCTGCTAATCAACATTCCCCAAACCACGCTCCTCTGTGAGTGGGTATCAAACTTTGTGGGGCACCAGAATCACCAGGTGGAACTTAGCAACATATAGGCTCCAGATTCCCTCTAGGTCAGAGGCAAGACCTGGAGACGTTTTTAACAAGCGCCAAGGAGCTCCTGCTGTGGGTGGTCATTGGGCCACACATGGGAGGACGGCTCTGATGGTTAAAATCACATCTCCGCAGCATATCATACCCCTTCTTGGAGAGCCACAAAGTCCATGAATGTGCCAAAAAGTGCTGCAAGTGTTTGCTGCAAAGAAAAATGCTTGACTTTAACTCACCATTTCCTAAATTTGACAAATTTTTTTTTAAAAATTAGCATAACCATTAATATCTCGCATAACTAGTGTTCTGAGGAATGGTTTGGGAAATGATCTTATTCCCTCTCCTTTTTAAAAAATGTTTTACGCAAATGTATATTTTTTAAATATTTGAGTGGACTGAAGCCTGGAAGGTTATATGTGTTCAAGGTGCTCAACTGCTGACACAAAGCTCGAATTTGGGCCTCGGTCTGCCCCTTCCTGTCCTCTATTCCATTCCCCCACCACATTGTTTCTGTCACTCTGAGCCTGAGCCTCTCCTAGGGTCACCCTGTCTTGAATTCAGGAGGAACCCTCAGGATAGTTGACCAGTGACAAGAAATCAGAGTCAGGGTTATAAGGGGGTCAGGATTAGCCTATTTGGCTGGGAGAAGCAGCAGAAGAGGGGGTGGCCCACACTTCTGTCACACAAGCCCAACTTGTTTAGGGATAGGGTGAAGGTGTAAGGTCTTTTCCTGGCCCACTGCCCCTCCCAAAATGGCAATCACCCGGAGATGGTGAGCAGCTGAGTATGACTGGCTGGCGAGTGACAGAAAATCTTGTGTTTTCTCTTCAAGCTCAAAACAGGCACATGTAGCCCTTAACTGATAAGCCAGCAGGGGCAACCCTTACCAGGAGGAAAAGAAATTTATTGCTTTATAAAAAGGAGTCTGAAAAAACGTAAAAGAAAAAAAAAAACTGTAAGTCTAAAAATCCACCCACCCATCTCAGCGTTCCCGGGAAATCTCAGACACATTTCTGGGGGCAGTAAGGTGGGTGGACTGGTAAACCGGGCTGGCCTGGCAGAGGAAGGGTGGCCTCTCCCACGTAAACAGCTCCAGGGCCCTGAAAAAGTCCGCCGGCAGGGCGCGCTGTGGCACCGCAGCCTCAGACAAGCTCCCAAATGAGCCAGGCTGGCTCCAGGTCCTGGGTGGCTGCTGGGCAGCTCTGGGAGAAGAGCAGATACCCAGAGCCCACACCCTACCACCACCCCACACACACATCTCTCACACATACTGCATATCACATATACACACCCACACGTATACACTAGGCCCCTCACATATCTACCACCTGGTTCAGGCCTGGACCTCCATGTCTGTCACCCACATCTTCATCTGTCATGTGTGTGTCTGTGTGGGGTGCCCTGTTGGTGCCCCTTTAATTCCCTTCAGGTCACAGACTGGATGAAGGGTGGCAGTGGAAACTTGCTGTCTGCTTAGGCCCTGAGGGAAGAGGTGATGGCTGATCAGCTTTGTCCACGGCTCCTGAGCCTGGTATGAGTAACCAACCCTCCATCCCCTCCCCAGGCTTTAAGCCAGGGGGCTTTTCCACAGGCCTCTAATGGGAGGACAGGGCATGGACCGGCCACGAGGGGCTGGAATTACAAAGGATTTAGCACCAACAACAGGAAGCGGGTCTTTCCTTCCTCAGGCAGCCTCAGACTGGCCAGGGAAGGAGATGAGGGGCCAGGCAAGGGGGGTGCAGGCAGTGCAAGCCTTTGACCTCAGGCAGGTGTGGTTGGTGGGCATGCAGCCAAGGGGCAGTGGATGGTATACCCCCCCGTTTTGGCAAGAGGCAGAATCCCAAATACTTAAGGGAGAGAGCCTGCCTGCTGGAGGTCTTCCTGGCTCCTCCCACAGGCACCATGGAGCCTCAAGGCTCCAGGGACCCTCAAAAGTTGCAGAGCAAAGCCCAAGGCTACCCCTGCTTCCAGCAGTAAGAGAATCATACATCCAGGCCCTCTCCCATCCTTCCACAGCTGAGCTCCAGGACCAAGGCAGGACCAAGGCCCTAGGAGGGAGCATGGACTCCAACATAGTGGAGAGGTTCCTGTGGGTGCGTGGAGGTCCTCTGGGGTGGGGAGGAGGACACTGGTGAATAACTGAAGCAAAGGCAGGAGGCCACAGTTCTGAGGTGTGGGCACTACACGGAAGCCTCTCTGTTGGATGAGCCGTTGAGCTTGAGGAAAAGCTTGTCATCTTCCCTCTTCTGCTGCAGCTGCCTCTCCAGCTGGCGCCGGTAGCAGATGAGGTAGAGGGGAAGGCAGAACCCCAGCATGCTCAGGCCAAGCAGCCCCACATTCACCTGGGGTGGCAGGGATGAGAGTTGCCATCATGTGGGGCAGGGGACCAGGTGGGGGCTACGGTCTTTTGCTGAGTCCAGCTCAAGACTCTTCCTAGCACTCAGGTTTAGAAAAGGGAAGAAGGTCACAGGAAAGGAGAGGAAAAACTGAAACTGGAATGTTCAAGAGGCTGGAGGGCCACATTCCAGCAGGAGAATTCCCCAGTTGTCTGCAGGCCACCCAGCAGCCCTCGGGGCCTGCCCTCTCCCCACCCCCACCTCAGACCTACTGATCTGAATCTCCAGGGGTGGGGCAGGGAGAGCAAGTAGGGTCTATTTATCCCAAAATCAGGTCCAGAAAGGACACTTTTCACCTCCTGCCTGGCCACCATTCATAAAGGAAGGGGACCTTGAATTGTTCTTAACCAAAGTTCTCAAATAGCCTGTCCCGGGGGCTCTGGAAGCCCCAGAGCGGTGCCTCCCAGCTCCCAGTCAGCAGAGTGGGGCAGATGTCCATAACCCACTGCCCCCTGGCCCTTCTTACCCACAGAGGATCTCCTTGGAGGGGACCCATCATGGCCAGAAACAGCGGCTGCTGCAGGAGAGCGAAGAGTGCACTGACCAGAGACTGCAGTCCTGTGAGGCTGCCAAACTGGGTGGAGGGATACCTGCCGAGACAATAGAAGACCTGTCACCGTAAGTGCCACTCTCAGGCTTTCCAAATGTCCCTTGCCCAGGTACACTGGTGCCCCCAGGCTACACCTTTGGCACCAGAGAAGAGGCAGGGACAGCCTCAGAGAATGGCAGGGTGCTTGCCTTCAGATTACTATCTGCTGAGCAGCTCTGCAAAGTGAATTTCTCTTTTGGACCATCCTGAGGCCCCAGACTCTGGGGAGGATCCCACCCGACTCAGATTGCGCCCCAGACCCGTGAATGTCTGGCCAAGCTGAGTGAAGTGGGTGCCAGCAGGAGTCTGCAGTCTGGGAAGCAGGCCCAGGAAGCAGGTTGGAGGCTGGGCCTGGCCCTGCTGTGCCCTCATCCAAAGGAGCGTTGTGTAATCAAGGAAACGTAACATTGCAGCCCTCAGATGGCTCCCTCAGACCTTGCCAGGGCAGCGCAACTTCCTCCAGCCTGGGGATGGGGGGCGGGGGAGACGTGTAGACCTAGAATGACCCTCATGTGATGGGGAGAGATTTCTGAAAACATCTTAGGAAACATCAGGCTTTAGGACTCCAGAGGTGGGAAGGGGCTCCCAGAGGGAAACAAGCTGGTCTTTGGTCACAGATACAGAGGATGATGTTTGGGTTGCAGGTTTTGAGCCAAGCCCTGGCCCAAGGAGGAAGAACACTGTGGTTCCTCATGTATGGGTGGACAATTGGAAAAGGAGGGTAGTTTCATTTTAGCCAAGGCCTGAGATGGCTGTGGGCAGAACCAGGCTGCGTGAGATTCTGAGTGAGAACTGTCTGACACATCCTGAGCTCAGTTGTCCATATCTCTTCCCCTGCTGAGGGCCATTTGAACATCAACATTTAGCTCTGGGCTGCCAGAACCCACCCCTGACCTTCCCATGAGCAACCAGAGGCAGCCTAGGACTTGGCTGAGCAGTAGCCCCCGAGGCAATAATGAGCTGCACAGGGACACTGACTCTGGTTGGGAGAACTGACTTCACATTAAATGCCAAGACTTGTGGGCACCCAACTGTCTATCCACTGACCCACCTCCTGCCAAGTATGGCCTTCCCCTGACACATTCAACCAGAGCCCTGGTACCTGTCCCTTGATGCAAGAAGATAAACTCTGAGAGGGCAGACTGGCTCCCCTCAGGACCTCAGTCCCATCACGAACCTCCCTCAAGTCATTCCCTCGACCTCCATCACCAGGCCACCTGCAGCTCCCAGGACTTACACAGCAGCATACAGGCCCCCAACGGCAGAGTGGATGAATCCTCGCACAATTGTGTGCAGGATGAAGGAGAGGATCTGAGAGGGAGAGAGAGCAGAGTGTGAGCAGAAGACTGTGAAGACCCTCACCTTGTCCTCTCACCCTGCGCTTCCCGGGATCCTGAGCACTGGGAACACTGGCTTGTATCAGCTCTCCAGAGCCAATTACTGAATTTTCTGGAATTTCGCAAGCCAGTTGTTAAACAGTCATCACTAAAACTTAATTTTTGTGAACTTACAATTAAACAAATTATATTTTTTAAAAAAGGTAATGAATATTCAAAACTTAGCACTTCCTAATTATTTTCCTATGTTTTACTATTATCTGTGCTCTTAAGGTTTTTTTTATGGCTTTTGTATATACATATGATGGAATTACCATGCGATGGTGTGTTACTGTGATTCTATTTCCAACTCTAGTCAGTGATATCATATTGATTGAAATTAGCCGCAATGAGAGCATTTACACCACGAAACTTGGCAAATGCTAAAAATCAAGGTGCCCCCAGCCCGACACAAGTCTGTTGTTAAATATGTACTGGCAGCACTAGGGAGATCACTAATCACCTGGGCCCTGACTGTCCCCACCCTAGGAAAAGTTTTGCTTCCTAAGAAGGCCACTGCAGGCAGGCTTACAAGCCCTGAGAAGTACTTGTTAATAATTTGAGAGGCACAAGAGCTGTCCACTTTGTCACCAGGACCCTTTGTTTGTTACTCATACCCAGCTCTGCCACCCTGCTCAGCAGCCAGGACCTGTTCCCAGGAATGTACGTGGTGGAGGGGGCAGGGGCCGCTTTCTGCGGTGTTGAAAGAGGGCTGCTCCAGAATGTGCAGGCACATACTTGGACAGGCTCCCCCTTTCCACTTCAAATGCCTTGTTGCCTTTTCCTAACTTTTCTTTCGATGAGAACTCAAAAAAAAGCGTAGATGACTCTCCCTACTAAGCGTTACTCCTCGATTAGACAAGGTGGTTGGGGCAAGGGTCTGTTAGTCTTGCAGAGAGGGCGGTCACCAAGAAGCCAAGAGGGCGCTGGGGAGGTAATAATGCTTCCACCTGGAACTGGTATCATTGGTTTATTCTGGTCTGCACACACTGTCAGCACATATGAGTGATAGTGCCTGTGGGTGGTACACATCTGGGTATCCAATGGACCTCAACATATGGCCACTTGGAAAAAGGAAAAGACTCTTGCTTTCCTCCTGAACCTGGCCCAAGATATCATCTGGCCTTGGGCTACACCCATCTGGAAGCAATGCCATCCCTCACATCCCTTCAAAGTTAATAAACTTGAGGGTTGGGGCTAGAACACTTTCATGAACGTAAGGGTGGAGTCAGCAAGTGACAAAATCTACCTCACTCGCAATCTCTGCCAAAAGTCAGATTTCAAAAGTATCAGAAATCTTGTGGAACGGAATTAAGCTTTTGAACCCAGATGCCAAGTGATCATCACAATCTTTTTCCACTCTCTACAACGTAGAGACCCTGTAGGCACTCTTGTATCTGAGGAACAATCGTTCTCACCAACACCACAGATTAGCCGCACCTCTTTGGACATCAGATTTCAGCTACTTGAGCAATGTAAAATAAGGAGCCACACACAACTACCCGACATAGTTCCAGAAAATAGTATGATGGTGGTATTCATGGTATGCAAATGCACAAAAGACTAGGAGGAACAATATGTCTTCATAAAGAAATGTCTTCTATGAAAGGTAATCTCAGTGTCCTTTACAGCTTACTCCTGGCATTGAGCAGAGTCTGGCAGGTAAGAGGCCTCGTGTAATTAACAGTGGGCTGGTTAGTGGGCTGGTTGAATTAAATAAATGAAAAGTCACCATTCTCTTTGTTGATGGCTTTCGTAACACGCCATGCACTTTTCAGTCTCATTGTCCCCTACCCCATCTGGCAGCTCCCTCTCCCCACACCCACCTGCAGAGGCAGGTTTGGAATGAGGCAGGTCACCCCGAAGCCCACGAGCAGCAGATTTGTGAAGGCGAAAGCCCGCATGGCATTGGTGACCTTCTGGATCTGCCGGTCCCGTTTCTTCTTCTTCTCACCTCTGTGGAAATACAAAGCATACCCTGGAGCTGGGAGCTCCCTGGAGGAAGATGGGGTCTCCCAGGAAGTCAGGCCCTAGGAGTCATAGCTGGACAACTCGAGACTCAGAGACCACCCGGACACGTTTTAGGAACTGTCGGGGCTAGACCAGCACTAGGGATGCACCTACTGCATCCTCTCAACTGAGCATTGAGAGTAAACCTCAGTGGAGAGGTCGGATACGAGATGGTCATCAACACACTGCACTGCTTCAGTGAAGACTGAGCTCAAATGATAGGGAGGGAAGGAGCAGAGTGTGCCCAAGTTAGGATGTGGCAAAGCCTCACTTCATCATTGGTTTCAACTTCACCCAAATCCTGCAGGGAGCCACAGATAAGGCAGATAATAAGCCAAATAAGGAAGTGAGTGGATATTCCCTTGGGGGACAGGAAGGGGTGAAGGAGAAACAAATATGCAGCAGATGGATGGAACCAGAATGGGCACAAACAACCTCTTGGCTGTAGGACCTGACCTAGATAACAAAGCATTCTCTGTAATTATTTTCTTGTGAATTCACTATTGCTGATTCTAGTCTCACCACCCACACAGATACCCCATGGACAACTGTATGACATCCAAGAATGAATGCCAAGTGCTGGGAGATGTGTAGGGAGTCCCAAGTCCACCACATCCTAACCATGTGACCTCAGGAAAGCTACTCAAACTCCTAGCTCAGTTCTCACATCTGTGAAATGGGTATCACACTAGTATACCTCTTTGAGGTGTTATGAGACTTAACTGAGATATTGTACATTAAGTGCTTGGCACAGGGCCTGGTACAATAAATAGTAGCTTATTATACTAAAGTGGAGTCACAAAAGACAGCACTAAACTCATCCTCTGATCTTAGACCCCAGCCTTTACATAAAGTAGGGTTCCAGTACCTTGTTTAGTGCTCACAATCATGAACAAATTTATTAACACCAATTACAGTTATAACAACTTACTACTCTCACCCAGTGGAGTCAGCCATGTAGGAAAGCAGCACTGCTTTAAGATCTTTCACCCATTGTGCTTCTCATGCTAAGGATCTGAGTGCAGTGTTAAAAGCAGAACGGTTTGATATCAAGTGTCTGCACAGACCTTCCTCCGGTTTCCCCCTTCTTTCATCTAAGCCAGTGCTTCCCAAGCTTCAGCCTACCAAATAAAGAAGTGACAGACCAAAATGTATACTCAGCTGAGTGAACAAGTGTCTTAGAGCCTTTGGGAGAGCAGCCTTGAGCACAACCCTCTCTGGCCTCTCTTGTTGACTTTAAAACCTAACCCATCCACCCTGTCCCTGCCTAACATCTGAATCGGGGGCTGGGGGCCAGGGCACAGGCCCTGCCTACGCACTGGTTGGTGTCTTTTTCCTCGGTTTCCTCAGAGGCATCTTCACACTCCTTTAGTTTCCAGTCCATGATGTAGCCAATGACAGGGGCTGTCAGCAGGCAGAGCAGCTGGAGCACACCGAAGATGGAGGTGTAGAGGCTAACTGGGGAGGAAGAGGGGCTGTGTCATGGGGGGCTCCTGGCAGAGGCCTGGGGCAGTGCCAGACAAAGTCCGAGACCCAATGGGCCCTTCTGGGGTCTTCCCCAGAACCCCTCTGTCACTGTGGGTCTTGAAGGGAGCCCAGAGACTTTAACCTCTGAAATCAAAGCTGAAACAAGGGGTAGGCATCCTATTTGCTCCCCCAAATGCCCTGCTCATTTCTAAGAAACAGCTATTGAAATCCAGTATGTCACAATGGCCTCCACCAGAAGCTCCAGGAAGTCTCTATAACTTGGGAACCACAAAATCCCCAACGCTTGCAACTGAGGTTTTGCGTAATACTGGACATTAGAAATACACCAGGAAGTTTATTTCTGCCTCTAGAAATATACCAGGAAGGCACCACTCACAGGGACTCTGACGTAAAGGCTTCAATCTTCAAAGAACCTTAAAATTAAGATGGGATTTTTTGGGTAAATAGAAACTGAAAGTTGACTGCCCCACCTCCACCTACAGCTCTGGCCCAAAGGGATGTCTGGAATTCAAGGCAAGGCGTGTCTTGGTTGAACAGAGACTGGCTGGGAGGGGATGTTGCAATGTTCCCCAATAATCCCCACTGCTTACCAGTAGCCATCACTGCATCAAGGAAGCAAAGTGAAAAAGCAGAAAGGAGTGAAGTTAGCAGCAGAAATCTCGAAGGTTGTTATAGGGAGATGGGGCAAGGAGGCAGACTAGCTCTGGGCCCAGCACGCATGCCATTTCCCATCCAGATCTGACTCTCAGAGCACCCATGTGCAGCTGAGCTTGAGCCAGGCTTCTGGGAGAGAAGGCAGGAAGGGTCCAACGCGGGCGCCTGCTGACATTTTCCTGTCTGCTGGGGCCTCAGCCATGTGCAGCCAGTGCTTCGTCACAGGCAGGCTGGTAAATCAGGCCTGCGGCTTGCCAAGGACCGTGATGGAGAAGTAGTGTAGGTGCAAGAGACCTGGCAGAACTCAGTGTCATGTGGCCCCTCAGGAACATCGCTCTGTTATAGTTGTACTCCGAGAGCAAGAGAGGCCAAACAATCCACTCTGACCCCTAGTCAGGCATCTGACACCTGGGTCTCCCCAGACAGCCACAGCTAGTCTCCCGTCCACCCCACCACTCCCTGACCCTGAAGCTACCCCTCTGGGCATAGCTGGGACTGTGGATGTCATGTACAACAGCTCACAGGAGCAGGATGGGGGAAAACCAGTGTCCTTTCAGTTGCAGATTGAATTTCCTGGCCCAATTTCCTCTACTTCTTGAAATTGACTTTTTGAATGTGGGAAACAATTGGAAAAAATTCCTCTTGGGCAGCAAAAGATTTCTCAGACAACTCAAGTAAAAGGTCACGACTCAGCAGCAGGAAGATTTGCCTTCCAAGGGCCAGTGAGGACCCTTCTCTGCACACTTCAGGGTCACCATCTCTCGGCTTGAGAGTTTGGAATAGAGAGTGTTTAGACATGATAGATCAGTTTCCCCAAAGTTCGGTCCAAAGATTTTAATGAGTATTACATAATAAAAGCTTTTCTGTAGTAGAAATTTGGGGGCACATCACTGGACACAATAAAGCTAAATAGGTTATTTTTTCCTGTAGGGTGCTCTTAGGGCTTTTACTCTGTCAGCAATCATTATGAAATTTTGCAAGGGCACATGATAATGTTTCTCCCCAGGACACCCATTTTCACAGTGGAACCAGTGTTGTCTGGGTCCCTTTGTCATCTTTCCCTTTAGTTAAGGCTGGATTTCTCATCCCCTTTACAAACTGTGTTTGATTCCTTATAATCCCTAAGGGAAAACAATTAAACCAAAAAAAAAAAAGTTGCACAGCAATGAGTAGAGGTGAGGATTCTGAGGCCCGTTACAAACTGTGTTTGATTCCTTATAATCCCTAAGGGAAAACAATTAAACCAAAAAAAAAAAAGTTGCACAGCAATGAGACTACTAATAAAAAGGATTTACCAAATGTGTTTGTCCCGTTTAGGGATGACTAAAGCTGACTCAGCTCAGGCCTGAGGAAGTACTGACTTTCTTTGTAGAATCAAAACCTCTAATCTGCTAAAGACCTTCTGTGCTGTTTTGGGAAAGTGGCGTGTGGGTTATCGGTTTTGTTTACCAGACTCAACAAGTCTTGACTGGATTACATACGTGAGGAAGCCTCTGCCTGGCCTTGCTTCACAGATTCCAGTGCGGGCCCAATTGCCCCAAAGTCTCCAGCCACAATGGTCCGGTGCCCTCACCCCCTTCCTTGTCTCGGCACCCAGTCTCTCCATGCACCAACCCTGTAGTTTCCCAGGGGGATTCTTGGTGTTGGGTCTAACTGGCTGTCTTTCAACAAGCTCTCAGGTGGAGTACTTTGTTCTGTGTAATATTTTCATTCATAAACACATGCCAACCATCCCCCTCAGGCAATGAAAAATATACACTTCACATCCCGAACACATGTAGCTATTTTAGTCCGCCCCTCCCTCCTAAACCGGGAAACTCTAACGGAGACATGAAAGAACAGTTGGGGCTGGCAATGACGAATAAGTTCTGACCAGCAATCAGTCCCTTGGACTCTGTCATTTGACAGCCCTGTTGCTCTGGCCCAGCTTAACACCTTCCAGACATCTGTGCAGGCGCTAGACCTCAGCGGAAGGAGTGACCACCACTCGGGGGTGCCCTCCTGTGGGGCTGTGCACCAAGGTCCAGGGGCCACCTACCTACGTCCTGGTCGCCGCTGACCAGGAACTTGAGGATGTTGTTCATGGCTCCCATATAGAAGATGAGTCGCAGCTGTGTGACGCACATGGTGATGAGGCTGAGCAACAGGATGGGGCTGAATACGCTGTGCATGAAGGAGGGGGCCGCTGTGGGGAGAAGGCCACAGATGCTCAGGGGGAACCAAGGCCAGTACCACCTCAGCCCACAGCCCACCCGCCATCCAGGGCCCAGTGTGCGGGGAGAGGAGGCTGATTTGCTGACCAACTCTCTCCATGCTGGATGCAAGGATGGGCCCAGGTGAAGTTAAAGGTGTAGGTGCTGGAGCTTAGGTCACCCAGCTGTGCAAAACAAGTTAGGTGATTCCCTCACCCTCTCTGAGCCTTAGTGTGCTCATCTGTAAACCAGGGTGAATGGTGCTGCCCGCCCTCTTGAAATAAAGTGAGAATTAAGTTAAATAAGACCCACAGAGCCCTCAGCCAGGGCTGGGGCTCAGGCTTCCAGATCTGGATCGGCTACCCTCTCCCCAACTCAGGGATGTGGGTGACATCTCAGGCAGGCCTGGAAAATGAGGGCTTCAAGGTAGGTACCTGCAGCATCTGGTTGGCACTTCACCTCCAGGTCGACGGTGGACAGGCACAGCTTGTGGCCCTCCTGCAGCACCGCCTGCTCCTTGGTGCTCCTCATGGAGCTGCCCACGCTGAGGCGGCGCCCCACTGTAGTCACCTGCTTGTAGAACTGCTTCCCTGTGATCTTGTGGTCAAAGCCCAGCCAGCTGAACTTGATCTTCACCCTGGAGGCCACAGGAGCGTCTGTCAGCATCACCCAGGGCCCTGGCTAGGGTGGGTGTAAGGACAGATAGCATGTCCACTTACGAGTAGTCCATGTCCTCTGGCCCCGGGAAGGGCTCCAGAGGCCAGTTAAGGAAGCAGTTGAGGAAAACCAACCCAGAGCAGCCAGCCCAGACCACGAGGATGATGATGAAGGAGGCACCAAAGTCATAGATGACCTGAAAGGCACAAGGGTAGGGGCAGGGCCGGAGGTGGAGTTAGCACAGGAAAGCCAGGGTGGGCAGCAGGCAGGGAGACTCTGGCAGCCCTGCTCTCCCTGTGCTGAGCTGCATAAGGAAGCACATCCCTGTCAGCGTGGGTGTTTGGTCATCAGACGCCTGCATCCCAATTATCCCAACTCACCCTGGCATGTCATCAACCCCCTGTGCCTCAATCTTGGACCAGATGTCACTTGCTTGGAGAGGCTTTCCCTGACCAGCCCCATCACTGTCATATCACTGGTTCGTAGTGAATAGCCCTGGCTGAGAATACTGGTGTCTTGATTCATTTACTTGTCCATTGTTAGTCTAATCCCTAAGAAAAGAAACCTGCTAGCTTTGTCCACTGATGTTTTTCCAGTGCCTTAAAGAGCACACATAGAAGATGCCAAAAAATACTCGAGGAATGAACAGATGACTGTCTCACTTGGCTCCTCTGTGAAGTAGATGTAACACTGGTATGTGCTCTCCTGGTGTTCTGGTGGGGGTTAAGCAGGTATGATCCTGGTAAAGTGCTGAGAGGCAGGGTGTGGGGAAGCCTGCTGAGTATGAGCAAGTCAGCCATTACTGTCATTATTACCATTTATTTCCAGCATAAGAGTTCCCAGAGTACTTGGTTGACAGTTCCCCAGGAAGGGGACTAGCAGCTAGGCATTGAGATAGGAGGAGGACGCACATGTTGGCTTCTCTGTATTTCGGGAGTATGACAATCCTAAAAGTCTACGTGATGCCTGGCCCTACACCCTCCAAGTACCTGATTCCCAGGCGACCAGCCCATATCTGTGACTCCTTCTCCTCATCTATGGCCTTCCCACTATATACCTCAGGAAAGGGGATTTTACTTGATGCTGTTGCCAGAGGAAGGAGAAGCCCCTTCTGAAGCTCTGGCAGGAGCAACAGGATTTGGAGTAGGAACTGGAGCTGATAGACTGTGAGGTGTTTGCTTCATCCTGACCCTGTGTGACTTTCATGGGCTCAGAATCCTGTCTTCAAGGGAAACAGCTGAATCAACTTGGCTGAGAGGAGCACTTTGGCTAATGGGGAGTTACAGCCCAATGACAACAGACCTGGGGGTGGGGATACTGGAGTTGAACTCAGGATGGGGGACAAACTGACCCACCCCCTTTCTCTACCCCAGCCCAGAAATGCGAAGGCAGCTTACAGTAACACCCTGTAGCGATATGCTTGAATTTTCCATCCCCCATGGCCTAGTGGGTTTCTTTTCTTATGCCCACGGTGTCCAGGTGCATCCTCCCAGGTGTGGGTGGTGGGGAGGGGCCAGCCCTGGCACCCACAATGACTTCCGTCTTCAGAGACGGTTGACGAAGCCTTAGCAGAGGCCTCTCTGTTCAGACACTAGTACGAAATAAATGTGCTGTAAACCAGCTGGCCACACCCTCACCTTGATTCCTGGGAAGGTGACTGCTGAGGAGGCATAGGATCCAATCATCAAGGCAATAAATGTGGACCGAAGGTCACCAAACATGTTGGGCAGCTGCAAGGCAAGACACAGGGAGACTTCAGCTGAGAAGAGACAGGACAGATAAAGGCAGAGGGGAAGAGAGGATCAAGGCATTCAGAGGCACCTTTTTTGTGTGCTCGCCTTGTGTAATTCACAGGGGAATTCGTCCAGAGGGTAATTACTGTTAATTGAAAGTTTTCCTTCCAGGACTGAGGTTGGTAAATGGAAGGGAGGCACATAGTGCAGAATTCGGACTCCGGACGTAAAGACAGAGCTGTTGGACTTCCTGGCTGGCAAGTGCCCCTCCTCTCTGCTCTGACACAGGCCAGGGACCTTCCTGTCTTTGCAGAATTACACAGAGATGCCAGCGAGCAAAGCTGGGAGCCTCAGGCATCCCTCAAAGGGAGCAAGCCTGTTAAAAATAAGAATCTATTCGGGGATGAGTGTCATTTTATAAATAAAAATATCAGCGTCCCAGAAGGACCAGATGTCAGCAAAAGCTGCTTTAGGTTTCGAGAGAGATTTCTGGAAGGTGCCAATCAGAATTCTACAGTTCCCTCAGGGCTCATGTGGGACCTGGACTGGGATTTCTGCTTCTGAATTTCTAAGTGCAAGGAGGGCTTTTCCTTTTCACCTGGTGTTTTGCCCCAATAATTAGCACCCGAGATCAATGGGAAGGAAGGCTCAGGGTCTCCTCCCAGCGAGGCCACTCTTTTGTATCTCACTTCAGCTCATTCTGGGCCATATGACATATACTTCGAAGCTATTCCACACAAATCCAGGCACAGGATAACGCAGTCACAGATTCAAACAGACGTGGGGCACAGTGCATCCCCCAAACAGCCAGTCACGGCTTCTCTCACGAACCTCGAGAGATTGCACTCATGATGCAAGGGTTTCCCACCCACATCCACAATGTCCCTGACGTTGAGGATCACTCTGTGGATGGCTATGCCAAACCCGTTTTGTTGAATTCAGACTGTTTCTATAGACTTCATCTGTGGCATCCTCCCCCATTTTTCTGTAATCATTTTGGGGCTTTATCAAACATGGAACACATGATGGCTGCATGCAAGCGAATGCACTGTTGCTGAGCAGAAGCAGTTTGAACTTGGCTACACGCCTGCTCTTCATCATTTCTGCCTATTATGCCCACAATAAAAATGAGTAAGGCATATGTCAAATCATCATGTGGTACACTTAAAACTAATACAATTATGTAATTATATCTCAATAAAACTGGAAAAAATTAGTAAGGGACATCATCAAAATTAAAAACTTGTGCTTTAAAAGACACCATCAAGAAGCTGAAAAGACAATGCACAGAAAAGAAAATTTTTATAAATCACATATCTGATAAGGCAGCAGTCCCCAACCTTTTTTGGCACCAGGGACCAGTGCTCCTGTGAGAATCTAATGCCTGATCTGAGGTGGAGCTGAGGCTGTGATGCTAGCACTGGGGAGCGGCCGCAAATACAGATGAAGCTTCGCTTGCTCGCTAGGCACTCACCTCCTGCTATGAGACCCATTTCCTAACAGGCCACAGATAAGTACCGATCTGTGGCCCGGGGGTTGGGGATCCAGGTGATAAGGGACTTATATCTAGAATATATAAAGAACTCCTACAACTCAATAATAAAAAGGTAAATAACCTATTTTAAAAGTGGGAAAAGATATGAATAGACATTTCTCAAAAAATATATATAAATGGCCAATAAGCACATGAAAATATACTCGATATCATTAATTATAGGAAAATGCAAATCCAAACCACAATGAGATACTGCTTGATACCCTCTAAGGTGGCTATAATAAAAAAAATCAGATAATAACAAAGGTTCTGAGGATATAAAGGGATTGGAACCCTCATATGCTACTGGTGGAATGATACGGCCACCCTGGAAAAGAGTCTGGCAGTTCTTCAGTGAAACAGAGTTACCAGTCATTCCACTCCTAGGTATATATACACCCAAGGGAAATGAAAACAGTGTCCACACAAAAACTTGTACATGAATGTTTATAGCAGCATTATTCACAATATCCAAAAAGTGGAAACAACCTCAGTGTCCATCAACAGATAAATGGATAAACAAAATGGGGTCTATCCACACAATGGAATATTATTCAGCCATAAAAAGAAATTAAGTACTGATACATGCTACACCACGGATGAACCTTGAAAACATGCTGTGTGAGGGAAACAAGTCACAAAAGCCCACATTATTATACGATTCCATTTGTCTAAGATAGGCAAATCCATAGAGACAGAGAATAGATTAGTGGTTGCCTAGGGCTAGGGTAGAGGAATCTGGGAGTAAAATATGGAGATGATACTAATAGGTACAGGGTTTCTATTTGGGGTGACAGAACTGACAATGATGACTGCGCAACTCTGTGAATACACTAAAAAACAGTGAATTGTATACTTTAGGTGAATTACATGATATGTGAATTATGCCTCGATATCACTGTTAAAAAGACATGAATAAGAAACTTAAGATGTTTTGGGATCCCAGGATTATAAAGGAACATGAATAAATCTACAGTATATGTCCAACTAAGCCAAGTTATGGCATGAGGTCAGGATGGCCATCCAAGCTCCCCAAAGAATTCTCAGTACATGAAGAGTTCTTCTTCCAGCCTCCAGGTGGAGTGCACCCTCTGTCCACTCAGGCTTCTCAGAGAGGGTCAGAGGAGGACAAAGAGCATATGGAAATTCCCCCAGCAGGAGATAGAGGAAATGTGATGTGCTCGTGAGTGCCTGGGTACACCCAGGTGAGCACTATAGGCACCCATTCATACTCTCTGCACACCTGCCCCCCAGGAATGCTGTGATTCAGATGACATGCTTCGGCTCCTGAGCTCACCTATTTAGGCTGCCTATGCTGGCTACTCCAGCAAGGCAGCTTTGTAGGGGAGGCATCTCTGGGGCCATACCTGCCCCAGGGGAAATCCCAAGACTAGTTCTGCTTGTACGGAAGGTGAGAACTGTTCCCGCCTGGAATGCCACTATAGCCAGGGCAGGTGAAGGAAGAAAAGGATTAAAGAGGGCTAAGAACTCAACCAGAAGAGCAGATGGAGGACAAGAGCCTGGTGTAGCAAAGGCCATTTGGTGCAGAGTCGAGCCAGGGAAACACTTTTGTTGTTGCAATCACCTTTGGGCACAAAATGTGTCTTTTCAACTTTTCAACGGGGTGAGGAGATACTCCAGAAAAGGAGACAGCTTGCTAGCCAGCCCTCTTCCTTCTCCCTTAAGCCCAAGCTTGCCCTAACTCTAACTCAGGTTAGAGACCAAGAGAACAATAGGCGTTTGGGGCTAGCATGCAACTCTGACCCGATCTTCCAGAGTCTTCTCCCCAGAACTAGATCTAGAACAGAGAAAAACAGGCAGCTGGGAGAGGAGCCGATTTACTGTCTGTGCCTGGATGAGACCCCTACCCTCATGTTTGGACAAGGGCAGTAGACTTCCAGCTGCCTTCCTTGCTGCCCTGCCTCTTTCTGCCTAGAACATTCTTAGCAACGCCAAGAAAATTCTCTTCCCCAACATGTTATTTTGGTTAGCAGGGCCATTCCTAGGGCAGTACAGAACTGCCGGGCAAACCATACTACACAGCGTTGCCACCAACACCAATATTCTGTATTTTAAATTATGATGATTTTTCCTGATTAGAAAAGCAATGCACATCCATTGTAAAACACTGCAACAAAGTATATAGAAAAAATAAAATATGACTGTGACACCTCTTTAATAAAATTTTATGTAAAGAGTAAGTAAACTGAAAGCAAAAAAAGTCACTGAAATTAAAAAAAAAGGAATAAAATAAAAATCACCGATATAGCTATGTTACTATCTTGCTATATTTCCTTTTAATCTTTTTCTTATAAATACCTATAACTTTTTAACAAAATTTGAACCATATGTTACATAATTTTATAAACTTTTTTTTACTTGATATATTACAAATGTTTTCTAATTTAGTATTGGTCTTCAACATATTTTGTAATGACTGGTATTTCTTTATCTGGATGGTTCATAATTTATGCATTTTTCTGATGTTGGACCTTGGGTCCTTTTTAATTTTTTATCATAAATAACATTTCAATGAACATCCTTGAAGATAAACATATGTGCACATAGCTATTATTTCCTTTAGGTAAATTCCCATAAGTAAAATCATTAGACAAAAGGGAATACACATTTTTAAGTTTTTGTCATACTCTGTGCCAAACTGCCTTCCAGAAACTTACACCAAATGATACTCCCATCAGAAGCATAATAGAATGTCCATTTCACTGCAGCCACTCCAACACTGTGCATTATCATTATTTTTAATATTTGCCACTTCACCGATATCCTCATTATTTTAAAACTCATTTCTTTGTGTATATGGATAAAATAAATCAATGACTGATATTTGCTTCAAAATAATCTGGATAGTGGGTGGAGGTAGAAATGAAGTAAGAGTGGTCATGAGTTGATCATTGTTCAAGGTGCAAGACGGGTACATGGTGTTCATTATTCTACCCTCTCTAATAACATGTATATTTAAAATTTTCCAAGATTAAAAAAATAACTGAAAAAACATACATTTAATTACTAATGACTGAACATTCTTCTACAATTTTTAAAATCAGTCATTACTATTCCTCATTTGTCTTTTTCTATGAGGATGTTAATCTTTTTATATTAACTTTGAATAGGCTCTTTATATATTAAAGACAGTCACGATTTTTCATGTTTTCTTAGTTCTTCATTTAACTTCTTAGTTCATGAAGTTTTCTGACCAAAAGATGTGTTTAGATAGGTAGTCAAAGTATGTTTCAGCTTTTAGGGACTACCTAGCATTTATGTCAGATGAAATTTCTCTGAAAAGAATATCAAAGATGACCTTGACCAATGAAAGCCAAAGCATAAACATCCTGGCAACAGTCAGTATGTGGTCACAAAAGAATAACAAACACAGGAGAAGAGATGGTTTCCCTGTGGACATTATTTTTTAAATGTTAATACTAATTGTGTTATCCTTTAAACC